CAGGCTCAGGGCCGGGGCTGCGCTGGCCTCTTCCCACAGTGGGGCTGGGCCGGGGCTGTGCTCAGGGCAGCAGGGGTGGGAGAGAGGGTTACTGGGGGTGGGGGGGGTCCTATGGTGAATTTTGGGGTGGCTGTAGCCCACCCCATAGACCCCTTTCCCAGTGTCACTGCCTGCCCTGACCCAGTCTCCCTACCAGGAAGAGGCCAGTGTAGCTCCTGGCCCTGAGGCCACAGCAGGCAGCCCACCCTTGCTCCACACGGATTCGGGGGGCATGTGCCCCCCCGCCTCTCCCAGGGGTGTATGCAGTGGCAGGAGCCGTGGCTGCACGCATACACGCAGCATTTATCAGTGACATTATTGGCTACACTGGCTAAAAAAAGTCAGTTGCCGATAGTGTCCATTTTCCTGTTATAGGTACCTATTCAATATGGACCAATATATTGGTGCACCTCTAGTTCTGGGTCTCAAGTACAGGAAGGGATGGCTCAGACAGGAGAAGGGAACTAAGGGAGAGTCAGTGGTCCCTGTGAATAATATTCATGCCAACTATGCTGCAAGGTTTGAATGTGCTGCAATGCCTTCACATTGAGAAGGAAGCCTTGAGAGGCTTTAAATATGCTCTTTGCTTTGCTCTTTCAGGATGTACATTCCCGCTACAGAACAGAGGCACACCAGGATGTAGTAGGAAGGTTTAATGAGAGGTGGGTTACTAACAGTTTGAAAACCTTCGCTGATGAGTCTGTACGTGGAAGAAAGGCTTCCAATAATGTTTTGACTTAGGCTTGGTGCCGTGTGTTCTGCTAAAATATTAACACATTTGAATCATGTTTCTGCACAGCCTTGGCAAGATGTTACATACTATAGTAAAACTGGCTAGCTTTTGTGGTGGAGAAATCATGTAGATAAAACTCATGCATGCTGTATGTGGGGCATTGTGAAGTTACTTGGGTAAATGCTTCTGAAGTGCTTTGAAGTCATTGGTTGAAGGACCCTGTAGATGTACAAATATTAGAGTGATGTTTGCCCAGACTAATGTTGCGTTGATAAGAATTGGATGTTAATGGCTCAGATCATGAAACTCTTGGCATTCAGAACCCTGTTGTGGCATCAGATCAGTTCCTTGTAATGCAGACTTCTTCTGGGCTGCGTGAACTTCGTTGCTCTTATGGTACATACTGGCTTTCTCCATGGGAAGAATGTAGCCAGAAAATGGTGGTTGTGTAGTCTAGTGGGTGAAGCAGAACAAAGGACCAGCTGTAGCTAGACTCTTCAGTGGTGGGTGCATAAAAACAAAAAAAGGCCCTCTTGGCTTCAAGGCTTGTCAAATGTAAGTAGGCATCTTCAAATTAATGATCAGAAATCACTGTGAGGCTTTCTGGAAATCAGTTTATAATTTGGTAGTTGCAGCTTGAGGAGAGGAGACCTCTCTTTGGAGGAATCATAGAATGTGGATATATCTGCTTCATAGAACAGCTTAGTGATACTAAGTATATGTATGCTGAGTCAATGACCCTGGGACAGAGCCAAGCTGTAAAACTGAGAACAAGCATTTCTCCCCTTCATTCCCCACCCCCAGTGCTATTCCATCTGGAAGGGAGTCAGGATATGTAAGTTATCCTCGTGCTTTGGTGTCATCAGTGCTGTTACTGAATTGGCTTTGTTTGATTGTGCAGGTTCCTTCTGTCTCTGGCTTCTTGCAAGAACTGCATAGTAATTGATGATCAGCTCAATATCCTGCCGGTCTCTAGTCACATAGCAAACATAATGCCTGTGCCACCACAATCTCAAGTAAGTGCATCTTGCCTATTTGCACCTGTTCTTGGAAAAGAACGTTTGCTGTTCTTAAAGTTGGATAAAGATGAGCATTAAGAGAGAAGAAGCCAAATTTAAATGGTGGTCTCTTGGATTCAGCTGTTTGTATCTGGCAAGAGTTACCCATTTGGATTCTGTAAGAGGTGATGCAAGTAATTCTGCTGGGTGGGCTGCTCTTTGAAAAAATCGTGCACTGGAAAAATCACTGTAGGAAGTATTGTGCTGCTGTCGGTGCTTTCAGTCTGAAGAACTGTGGATTCATTCTGACAGCTAAGCATCTTTTGGTGTGCTTTTCAAAAGCATGATGGGTTAGCTCACAGACTGAAATACTCCTGGATAGTATAACTGTATTCTGCTGACCAGAGTTCCTGGCAGTATGCTGGATGTTTTTGCTTAGTGTCTGTCTTAAACAGGGCAGTGTTGCTGCTATGCCCTTGCTGCATTTCACTGATGAATAATGCATCTCTGTATAATCTGCAGTTCTTGGGATCCTGTGAAATGGACAGCGCTTTAAGTATGCACATTGCTGTTGACACCTCAAGTGAGTTGTTGGTTGGGTTCCAAGAAGTTTTATCCATGGGATTAAGTGATACCATAACGCTGGCGAATATGCCAAGCTGCAGGAATTGCTTCTCTTGTTCTTTAACAGTGAAGTTTGCAGGGCCAGCATTGCCTCAGTGACAATGTCACTGCCCTGTGCTCTGTATAGATGAGTGTCCAGCATAACTGGCTTGACTCTTTGTCTCTTGGTTCCTTTTCCTTGTTTGGAAATAGCTTCACTTTATCTTGCCTGCTTGCCAATTCCATTAAGTTGGTCATGCTCTTACTTACACCAGTAGTTGTGCTGTTGCAATCATAGAAAATTAGGGCTGGAAGGGACCTGAGGAGGTCATCTAGTCCAAATGCTGCTCGGAGCAGGACCAACCCCAACTAGATCATCCCAGCCAAGGCTTTGTCTAGTTGGGTCTTAAGAACCTCCAAGGATGGAGAGTCCACAACCTCCCTGGGTAACCTGTTTGAGTGCTTCACTACCCTCCCAGTGAGGAAGTTTTTCCTAATATCTAATATAAACTTCCCTTGCTGCAACTTGAGACGGTTGCTCCTTGTTTTGTCATCTGCCACCACTAAGCTCCATCCTCTTTGTTATTAAATCCTCCCTCAATCTTCTCTTCTCTAGACTAAATAAGCCCAGTTCCCTCAGCTTCTCCGCATAAGTCATGTTCCTCAGCCCTCTAACCATTTTCATTCTCTACCCAACCGTCTAACCATTTTTGTTCCAAGCAGTGGTTCTGCCTTCAGTGCACCTGAAGTTATGCTGTGAGTTGGAGATTAAACGATTGAAGGCACATACTGGAATGGGTGTGGTGTCTGAGATAGTCAAAAACAACCAGGAAATATAGATGCTTTTCCTATTTAAGGCTTAGTGTGAATTGTGTATGCAAATGCACTCAGCTTTGAAAAATCTCAACTTCAGTGGGAACAAGAAAATGTAGCTACAGAAAGAGGTGATTATGTCACTGAAAACAGTGCCTCTGCCTCTGTAATTGAGTATTGTTGACCATGCAGATGTCTCAACAGTGGGTGATTCCTACATCCTTTGAATTGCAGTATCTAATCATGGGAGGTGGAGCAGGAGGGGGCTGAGAGTTTTAGCTTTGAATTTCCTTGCATATTGCAGCCTAATATAATGGTTTGACTTGCTTTTATAATTGGGCTTGCTGCATCAATAGCAAGATTTACTGTTTTGTAGAGGTGTTGACCTCAGTAGCTCAGAGGTGTGATAAGTTTCTTTAACAGGGGGAGAGAGAGATAATATGCAGTTTCCTAAAGAAGTGCCACAGTAATTGTGTACGTAGACAGGCACCCAAGAGAAATTAAGATTTAATAGCGACTTGCCTGCAAGACAGAAATGGTAGCGTATGTTCTGAACAGTAAACATTACAAGGTGTAGCCAGGAAGAGATCTCCCGAGTTGGATGCTCTATCCTAGACCGTGGGAAACGTGCCTTCCTCAAGCAAGGCAGTAACTCTTGTAAGGACCTGTGCTTGAATGCTAGGCAAATAGTTATTGACAGTAGGGGAACTCTGTGCAATATGATTGCCTATTTTGTTTCCTATTTGAGTAGTAAGCAGTAGATGATTGATTAGTACTGAATCCATTTCCCCAGTACCATATATATGCATGAAATGAAGGGAGTCAGGATAATTAAGTTACCCTCAGGCTATACAGGGTGAAATGTTTTTGTGTGCATCAGCTAGCAGCAGTCACTTTCTTTGCACAAGCACCTTTGAAGATTAGGTGTACACCATTTAGAGGAGCACTGATAAAGACTTTTTTGTCTGATACCAATGGCTGATTTATTAACCAGCCATATCAGCCAATACCGATCTGATAGCTGAGATGCATCCCAGGAGCTTAGAGAGCAGCATCCAGCTGGTAAGACTGGAGTGGGGGAAGGGGTGTGGGGGGGAACAGATCAAGGCCTCTGCGGTGAGGGAGGCAGGGGCAGATGTTGCCGGGGCAGGGCACGGGACAAAGCGGTGTGTGTCGGAGGGAGGGAGCATCCCGGGCATGTGGGGCATATGCCCCCTGGATTTGTTCACAGGGTGAGGACAGGCTGCCTGCTGTAGGCTTGGGGCCTGGGACTGCTCTGGCCTCTTCCTGATGTGGGGGGCGGGGGCTGGGCTGGGCTGGGGCTGCAGGCGGGAGTGGGGTGGGCAGCAGCAGCCCTGGTGAGGGAGCTATGGGGTGGGCTATAGCCCCTGTCCCAGCACTGTCGCCGCTGCCTGCCCTGATTGCAGCTCCAGCTGAGCCCCTGTGCCAGGAAGAGACTGGAGCAGCCTTTGGCCCCAAGCCCACAGCGGGCAGCTCGCCTTCGCCCTGCACACAAATCCAGGGGGCACATGCCCCCCATGCCCCTCCCCGGGGTGCGGGAGCCGACCCCTGGACAAGCCACTTGCGGCTCCATACTATGACCCACCTCACCCCGGCTGGGCAGCTCCTGCCCCTGCCTCAGGTCCTGCCTCTTTCTCATTCTGTCCCTCAGCATGGGGTCCTCAATCTGTGCCCCCATGACCCTTCCCCCCCAACATGCCTTCCCCCCTTCCCCCCACATAGACTTACCAGCGAGACACTGCTTTCCAAGCTCCCAGGATGCATTTCTGTCCACATGCATACTGCATCTGCGCACATGCACATGGCATATGACATCAGTGACATTATCGGGCACATCGGCCAAAAAAAAAGCCAATTGCCAATAATGTCAATTTTTGCTCTTATTGGTGCCAATATGATATGGCACAATATATCAGTGTACCTCTAACACCATTAGTTGTCCTTTCATTATTCAGATGTATTGTGAAACAGTTTCAGAGTATGTTCAGATAATGCTAAATGTCTGACTTTTGGATTAGAGCAGGGGCTGGAAAGCCGGGACCCTGAATCCCATTCCTGATGCCTGGCAGATTGCTTCACCTCTATTCTTATTTCACTTTTCCTCTCTCAGATATGCAGTGTTGATCACTTCATGAGGTATCGTCTGGCTTGACTAGTATTTGTGAAGTGGGTGGCAGTATTTTGTATTCTGAGTAAAGTAGAATGCTAAGGTTTTTACAACCTCTTGCACTAACCCAGTTGTGTCTAGGGGCAAACTGTCTATTGTTTGGTGTGCCCTCCAGACTGCAATAATACGTAGTGGTCTGGGTTGGTCTAAAATGCGGTGTCAGCATGATTCTTTACGTGCCTTGGTAGGTATGCCTTACTTGCAGTTTTACTTTCCTGTAATCCGTAGTTTATTTTTCTTTCAATACTCTAAAGATGTCTTTAAAAAATATGCTTCCATGACGCAGATATGGCCATAATATCACCTTCCAGGTTAATACATTAGTATTAGTTTTCTGTAACCTAGAACTGAGGATGGAAAATGTTGTAAGTACAGAGGTGACAGGCTCCCTGTCACTTACTTGTCCCTTATTTTGACAGATGGAAGACCCAAATTTGTATTTATCCTATACAAGTCTGAATCCTGTGCCATCGATTCAGTTTGCAATAGCACTTCCTTTCAGTTATCTTTACCTGGCAGAGAAATGCATGATGCCTGGAGAAGGCGCAAGTATGTTGACTAGGTCCTTATTAATCTTATTGTGGTAATATCTCTTTCTCTCAGGAGGATAGCCTCAGCCCTCAGGAGCTGGAGCTGAGGGAGTTGAAGGACAACTTGCAGGATACCCAACCTGTTGGCGTGCTGGTAGAGAGCTGTAAAACTCTGGATCAGGTGAGCACGTAGTTAAATTGGGGGTGCTGTGGTGACAGATGCACATCATTCACTGGTGATATTTAAAAGCCTGTGCACCACTGCTGCCTCCAACAGGAGATAAGGTCTGTCTTGGGCTGCCTGACTTGAGAGCCCTGGGAAGCCATTTCAAGTGATTTTATTAATGGAAGGAAGAATTAGATGGCGAGAGGCAGGAAATTTGTGCGAGCAAGTCCACATGAAGGACTGACATGGAGGGAATGGCTCAGTGCCCTTTAAGCATTAGGTGTCCCAGTAGCTCAGCAATTCAGACAGAAGTTTGACTGACTGATCTTCCTTATAGGATGGAAAAAGAGAACTTGCTAAATGCAAGACCCACATACAATAATTCAGATGACAGGTCCAGGTTACTAAGGCTTGTTTGAGCAAGGCTTTGTTCTAATGCCAAAGCCTTTCTGCTCCCTTTGTTATGCAGAGCTCTCGGTGCAGATGGTTGACTCTGAGAAGTAGCTCTGCATACTCATTTCATAGGCTTGTTGAGTTAAAACAGGGCACTTCTTTGGCCCATCTAAACAGAAAGTAGCTTATGTGGACTACTTCTTTGGCATGTCCTTTTCACAGCTTTTGTCAGGAAGTGAGCATTAGTGGGTAGAATTGAGCCTGGGACTTGCAACTCTTCCTCTTGCCCTGCTGTATGTCTTTGCGGTTGTATGACCTGCTGTGTTACTCCCTAAACCTTGCCGTGGCTCTGTACAACATCATCTGTACAATGGGTCAAATGTCACACTACCTCATGGTGGTGTTGGGCACATACATAGGAGTTATGTATCTAATTGTCATTTATTCCTTTGAAAATCTTCCTCTGCAAAATTTCTTGAAGTTATGTAGTAAAAGGTCTTGTAGTAGTATCCAATATCACCACTGTTATTGTACTCTGTCCTGCCCTGGCCATGCCCAGGGTTCTGGTAAGCTCAGTATCAAGCAGCAAAACTAAGTTGTTTGGCTGGTTTCAGCCTCTGCCACTCATTCCTTACTTTCCTACATTCAAAAAAGGAATAGGCCACTAGCAATAAAGTGATTCTGCACATGGCTTTAATACTGTGATAGACCCAACTTCTGTGTGCGCTTCTGGTTCCACAGGCAAAAGCAGTTTTGAAATTTATTGAAGCCATTTCTGAGAAGACCCTAAGGAGCACTGTGGCCTTAACTGCTGCCCGGGGGCGCGGTAAATCTGCTGCCTTGGGATTGGCTATAGCTGGAGCTGTGGCCTTTGGGTGAGTTTCGTTTCTAGCTTTCCAGGCTTTATTTGTAACTGTCAACTGTAAGGAGGCTGTGAAGGATTTATGATGTTTAGTCCCTTCCAGTCCTATGTCCCTCTTCCTGTGGAGGCTTTTTATTTATTTTGATGCATGTTTATGCTGACTTCCGAATTTTTGTAATGTCATAGTGTAACAGAAAATGCTAAATCTTTAAAATGTAGAATAACTTCATATTAAAAAAAAATTGAGTAAGTAACAAGGATTTAGCAATTACCACATTTACCCAAATCCAAGATGACTTTGAAGCTAAGATGACCTCTCGATAATTAGAATCTGTACATGGAAAATTAAAAACTCTAAATCTAATTACTGAAGGATCGTCTTAAATTCATACTCCTTCCCCACTCCCCCCAGTGCTGGGACAGGAAAGCAATGGCAGGGGAGCAAGTGGCTTGACCATACCATGCCTCCCCTTGCTCTCCCACGCCTGCGTTCCTGCTTCCTACCCTGGCACCTGCCCCCCACCCTTTTCCACTCCCTTGTGCTGCTATCCCCAACTGATCTAGGTTCAAGTGGAGCTCCAGGTCCATCCTGCAGGGAATCCCCTTGTCTTTCCCTGTGGCTAGGAGCAGGCACTGAAAGGAGGAGCTTGCACACTGCTGTTGCTATCCCTGCCTGAGCTGAGCCACCTGCAGAGCTGCTCCAAGTAGTGCAGGGCAGGAGTGGATCAAGAGCAGCTCTGGGGCTCCCCCTGCACCCATATTAGGTAGGGACACTAGTGTTCCCCACAGTTCTTGTCCGGAGTAGTCCCATACTTGATTCTAAGACGAGGCATTATCCCCCCTATGTTGTGGGGGGAAAGATAGTGCTCATCTTGGAATCGAGTAAATATGGTCATCCTGTAGTAGATCCAATGGCCAGTATTAGCTGAGCATAACAGTGGGTGCATGTACACATGCAGTTAATGTGCCTGAATTTGATGTACAGTAAATTCAAGTATATTAAGCTGTTCCTAGGTACACATCTACACATGTACCTGTATTGGCAGCAGATTGAGCCCAACAGGTGTAGCCTAGTCCAGGATTGCTCCTGCCTTGTTGTGCCCCACTGCAGCAGCCAAGGGGAGCTCCAGGCTCCCCTAGGTGCCAGTCCCAGGCTGGCAGGGGCACAGGGGTCAGCTTTGGGGAATGGGCGGGAGCTCTCCTGGCTCCAGGCTGTCAGACCTCTCCCAGGAGAAACCATGAGTGTATGGATGTTCAGGGTTTTTCTCCAAAAACGAAAACGGCCATTCCGGGAGAAAAATAACCTGGAAGGAACCAGGGTTAAATGACTCCTATGAGAGTTTCTTCTGAGAGAGTGAATGTCTGTATACTTTTCTGAGAGAAGACACAGCATAGTCTTCCAGCATCCCAGGATGCTTTGCTGATCAGGGCTGCCCTTTGCATTGCTGCTGTTCTCTCTGGCCGGACTGGGGGAGCCTGCAGAGCATGCTGAGATGTGTGCACCGGGCCCCTTGGCTGCACAACACTGCATGCTCTCTGGGGTTCAGCATTCAAATGTCTATTCAGGTGTCTTCAGGTATGTTTTTCTACCAGGAGAACACACTTGGGAGAATTATCCCAGGTCATTTGAAGTGTGTGCACAGCCTACATGTTTGCAGAATCCAAATTCAAGTAGGAAGACAGTATACCTATTTGATATTGTGTCCAGAAAACAGAGGGCTCAGAGTTCCAGTTAACATTTTTGGGCTGGTACATATAGGATGTCGTGGGAGGGCCTTCAAGGGAAATTCCACAGGAAAACTTCTTTGTAGGATTATTGCTTGTAGGCAACTTGGGGCTAGTGATTGTTGAATGTGAAAATAAGTTTGGGGTGCTGAATGTTGTGGTATAGTAGTGTCTACAGTAGAAGTGTCTTGTCTTTAATTAGAGGGGTGGCTCAACTTAATTGTTGCTTTCTATCACACTTGCAAATCTGCCTTTCAAAAAATGTTCTTGGTATAATACATTTTATATCATTTTAGATATACTTTCTCTATAAAGACCATGTATCCTGCAATGTTTAACATGCTATGTATGGTATATAGGAAGCTATTCATGTTTCTTCCTATGGAGGGGTTTAAAGCCATGTTTGCTTTCCTTTCCAGGTACTCTAATATCTTTGTCACGTCTCCTAGTCCAGATAACCTTCACACACTATTTGAGTTTGTGTTTAAAGGCTTTGATGCACTGCGGTACCAGGTGAGGAGGGAAGATTATTTATTGCAAGAATAGCATCACTTTTCAGTAGGGATTTAGAATTGGATCTGTAATTTGGGTATTACATGGCTATATAGAGGTGATGCTTTTTAGCTTTGGGATGTTTGTTCCTAAGAATCTTTTATTATACTCTGTAGAGATCTGTAGGGTATCACTGTGACCTGATGTTTTACATTTAACATTTGTAAATCTGAGAAATTAGATTTCTTGGTGTGTGAAAATAGATCCTGATTTTACCACAAGCTTTCCAATTGTGGGCCCTCTGTTTCAGACTGAGATCTTCATTACAGATTTATACACAGGCTCATGATTTGTGACAGATTCTGAATTGGAAAGGTTTATAAATATGAACGGGCAAGGTGCGCATGGAGGGGGAATGCAACACTTCCCTGGCCTCTCCCACCCCGCTTTGCTGACTTGTTGTTCTATTGCCTCATGGCAGTTCATGTTATGTCTTTTTCAGGAACATTTGGACTATGAAATTATTCAGTCTTTGAACCCTGAGTTTAACAAAGCAGTTGTCAGAGTGAATGTGTTCAAGGAACACAGACAGACCATCCAGGTAATTAGTCTCCCGTCTTTGTTTCTTGCTTGTGGCCTTCGGCATTATGGTACAGTACCAGCATTTTAATCTTTAAGTGTGTTCGTTCTACCTAAAGCGTAACAGTATTACTCATCACTGTCCGTACAAGGAATTTTTACCTTTAGACGAGTGTTTTCCTAATCAGTAGCTTCCACAAAAGAAATTTGCCAGTTTCTATGGAGGTCCTGTCTGTTGAGGACCCTTAGCTGGGTCTTGCATGTCGCTTTTCTTTCTCTTGGGCACAAATGTCCAGATAAAGGTCGTGAAGGAGAACGGATTTATAGCAGTCAAGAAAAATAAAGGAAAATTAATCTGATGTGGTCAGGCATGCACTTGATTTACTTCGATGAAACCTTCTCAGCCGCTCTCTGACAGTGTTTGTACTCCATTTCCCTTTAAACAAAGACAGGGACTTTGGAAGATAACTGCTCATGTAGGGCTGCAACTCTCTATCTTTTTGGAGTTGCCTCAGTTCCCAGACAGCTGCTGGGTCAGCGATTACCTTCAGTAAAATGCTGCTTCGCTCCTTGCAGTACATACACCCTGCTGATGCCGTGAAACTGGGCCAGGCTGAACTCGTGGTGATTGATGAAGCTGCTGCCATCCCCCTCCCTCTGGTAAAAAACCTGCTGGGCCCTTACCTCGTTTTCATGGCTTCCACGATTAATGGGTAAGAGATTCATGGGGAGACTCCTTGTCGTTACCTGCTTGTGTAACTCCTTCTTATGCCTGATGGCCCCTTTTGAAACTGTCACTTTAATTCTCTTTCATGTATCATTTATTGGTATGGACTTGCATATATTGTCTGTGTCTGGCATGTGGAAATGCTCTGTCCTGTCCTTGCTCAAGGAGCATATATTTAAGAGAAATGCTGAAACCTTTTTCAAGGGAGGGCATATATGCTGCTGGTGGAGAACTGCAGTCTTCCTTTGCTGTAGGGGAGGACTGACCTTTCCAGCACAGGCTATTCCCGTCTGCCTGCCAGAAGTCCCCCTCTCTTTCTTCTGGGCACTGTACC